TTGTACTGGACTAGCTGCGCCCGCATTAGGGGTTATACAGATGTCACTGTTTTGGTTTTTAAAAAATCATGTTCCTAACCAAAATAGTTGTGCCAGTGCAAAAACTGTGTATGTTTTCCAGGCCTATGCCCAAGTCTCCCACATCATATATCGAGAATTGGTATTGGCAAAAACTAATTAATTTACATTTACAATTCATTTTATGCTTTTAAATTATGAGTAATTTTCTGCTTTATTCTGTGGCAAATATATAAACAACGCCTCAACCCCTCAAAAATTTTTAACCAAAATGTTTCTTTGGCACCTAAAACTTTGTGTCAAGTTTTTGGCAGCCTTCAGAGCAAAGATTGGGATGGAAAGAGTCCCAAGAAGTTGGAGATTTCATAAAAAGTTCTGAAGTTTGAGGAAGGTTTGGGAAGTTTGGCGGGGGGTGGGCGGAGGGAGGAGTTAAAATACTTAAATACTTTTTGTGGAAAATGTCTTTTGTCGTTTAACCTCAAAATGTAAATGTGAGTCTGCTAAGTTCTGGGACCCCCAGAGTTACAAAGGGCATGGCTATGTAGTCAATGGGAGCCAGCCTTCCAGCATGGGTTGAGACACTTGGGACTAGCAAGGCTCTCTCAAGTACTCTAAAAAAAGGTGTGTAGGGTACACTTTGAAGTGGGGGCTCGGGCTCTGAAGCCTAGGGAGGGGACAGGCTTCAGAGTCCGAGCTCCAGCCTGAGCGGTAACTTCAAAGCACTGTCTCTACAGCTGTTTTAGAGCAATAGTTCAAGTCCTGCTATCCTGAGTCTATTGATACCGGTTGGGAGGCTCTCTGGACCTGGACCTGATTCTATGTTAAGTAGTCATTTACAGGAGTGCAAAGTGAGTGTAAAACATCACCAGATTAGAATGGTATCATCTACATCCACTTAGCACAGGTATAAATGACTACACGATGTGCCAAGGAAAGGACCATCAGACCTTCCCCTCTGATGCACAGTTATCTATCAATCTCTCTCTATCTGCACTGACTGCTTTTGTCTGCAAGGTGAGTGCAGGTTCATAGAGGCATCAGACCATGAGCTTCCAGCCAAGGAAGTTGTCAGGCCTAAAAAAGCCACAGAGCAAAAAATACAGGGCATGATGGGAAATCAACAGGAAACAATTCTTGCTGAAGGTTCAGCCTTCTTCCAAATGTTAGCTATCGGGGCCTGTCTGATAGCACAAAGCACCTAGGTGAAAGAGGCAATGGCTGTTAACTTAGCAGAGTAAGGCAGAAAACCAATGCCAGAAAAAGGTGAGAATAGGTGAGAATGTGTGCTTGGATAGGTCAGTGTTGGGCACTCTAAAAATACCTTATACGGATAGGGCCATTTACACACATCAGGGAGTTTTGATGACAAACAGGATGTTAGGGATCATTAAAAAGGGGATAGAGAATAAGACTGAGAATATATTATTGCCCTTATATAAATCGATGGTACGCCCACATCTCAAATACTGCATACAGATGTGGTCTCATCTCAAAAAAGATATACTGGCACTAGAAAAGGCTCAGAAAAGGGCAACTAAAATGATTAGGGGTTTGGAATGGGTCCCATATGAGGAGAGATTAAAGAGGCTAGGACTCTTCAGCTTGGAAAAGAGGAGACTAAGGGGGGATATGATAGAGGTATATCAAATCATGAGTGATGTGGAGAAAGTGGATAAAGAAAAGTTATTTACTTTTTCCCATAATACAAGAACTAGGGGGTCACCTAATGAAATTAATAGGTAGCAGGTTTAAAACAAATACAAGGAAGTTCTTCTTCACGCAGCGCACAGTCAACTTGTGGAACTCCTTACCTGAGGAGGTTGTGAAGGCTAGGACTATAACAACGTTTAAAAGAGAACTGGATAAATTCATGGTGGTTAAGTCCATTAATGGCTATTAGCCAGGATGGGTAAGGAATGGTGTCCCTAGCCTCTGTTTGTCAGAGGATGGAGATGGATGGCAGGAGAGAGATCACTTGATCATTGCCTGTTAGGTCCACTCCCTCTGGGGCACCTGGCATTGGCCACTGTCGGCAGACAGGATACTGGGCTAGATGGACCTTTGGTCTGACCTGGTACGGCCGTTCTTATGTTCTTATCATATGGTCCAATTCTACATTTTCTCACTCAGGCAAAATTTCCATGAAAGTTGATGGCCTGAGTAAAGACTGCATGAGTGAGAGTAGGGTAACCTCCAGAGTGACACATAGTCCATAGGGTATGTTCAGATTGTGCAGGATATAAGCACTTTTTAAAAGTAAGTCTCTGGCCCACTCATGGTTGCCAAGTTAACCCTCCAAATGTAAGCCGTATGTAACTGATGCAGCAATGTCTGACTGAGTCTGCTGATAGCATGAAACAATGATTCTGAGAGGGGTGATCTCTCTTGCTCTAATAGACTCAATAGAGATAGACTAACTTAGGTCTTGTATAGATCAGAACACTGGCGTGGTGATGGGTAGGTAAAACTGTGATATTGGGGAGAACATGACTAATCATCAAACAGCTGACAGTAGTTCATTTGTGCACTTGTGGTCCCATTTGAACTCCTTGGCACAAAGAGTTCCTTTTGGATGGTGGGGAATTTCTGTTATGGAAGGATTCCAATGTAAAAGTTGTTTAAGGGATTTCCCTACAATGTTTGAAGAGTAGATGTGATGTTACCGGCACTAAATGTAGCTGGCCAATTGCATTATCAGTATGGCTAACCCCAAGCATTCAAAGCTCATAAGTCAGACTCAGGCCTAAAAAATTGTGAGATTTTTTTTAAATGTGGGCATGATGGGGTGTATAAACCCCACATTAGAACTGAAGGGGTTAAGGAGCAGCGCTGGACCCAGGTGACTCTGCCCCAACTGGAGCAGGAACTTAAAAGGGAGCCAGACTGCCCCCAGCTGAGCTGACTGGGTACAGGGACAGACCTGTTCTGACAGCTCCTAAGCAAGGCTGCTATAGATGCCATCGCTGCAAGGAAGGGGCTAGCACTGAGCCCAGCTATGCTGAAAGTTTTGCTATTCTTTTTTGTTGTCGTTGCTATCTTATGTTAGACTTTGAGATGTTGGGGGGAGGCCAGTGGCCCAGGGAAGCAGCCTGAAAGCACTCCAGTGTGCTTGATATTATTGCCTCTCTTTCACCCCTTGTGTCTGCTGTCAGGAAGGGATAGTGAAGTGGAGAGCCTCCGGGCAAGGGCAAGCCACCTGCAGGAGAGGGCTGAAGACCTTCTCTTTGTGAGGGCATGGGACCCTATATATTCCTCTGGACTCTCCTTTCCTGGAAGGGGATTAATCAGTGACCCGGCCACCAATTCGCAGTGCTATAGTTGCAGGCGAGGGGCACTGGAGGTGGCGGGGAGGAATGTCGAGGCCCGGCATCCTAACCACTAGGAAAAGTCACCAGTAAGCCCAGGGCCTCACCCCATCATGGTGGGGTTATTCTTATTTGCCTTCTGGTTTCTGAACGTTTAGGGTGCATTCACTTCTTATTTTCAAGCTTTTCTGTGCATCTATGAGAGTTAGAAACACTTTTTAAAATGAAATTTGACATATTGATGATTTAGTTGGGGATTGGTTCTGCTTGGAGCAGGGGGTTGGACTATATCCCCTCCTGAGGTCCCTTCCGACCCTGATATTCTATGATTTTCTGATTATCATACAATCTCTTGATTTCAGTTACTGGGCCTTTAAGAAAAACACTAATTTATTGTATGATTCATGATTAAATCGTGAGATTTGGCAACACTGCATAGCTATGAAATTAGGTAGAAGCCACTTTGAACTAGTTAGAAGACTAGTTAGAGGACAACATTGCCCAATTGCTTTTTTAAAAATCTGTAGTGAAAAGCCACACCTGAAATTAAAAGATGTGGCCCCTTTTTCCCTTGTAATGATTCAAGTGAGAAGATCAGTTTTCTGCATCCAAATGTAGGCCTTGTTACTGCAATGAGATACAGAATAAGATAGACACCTTCATCCCCATGGAGACCAGTTGATTTAATAGGGCTTTATATGGGTATAGGGGTTTACCTGCATGTATCTTGTTGCAGAATCAGGACCTTGCAAGCTATGGTGATAGGCACTTTAGACAGACATACTATGCCTCACTACAGTTTATTCATTAAACTGTAATTTGGGAAGACCTTTAGAAATTTTGAATATCCTGACTGGCTAATATTGACATCCTACTCCCACATATACTGCTCAATACATTCTGCAAGTCTAGTTTGCACTCCTTTCTTCATTATATTTCATATTGGTAATCAGGCCCTCAATCAAATGCATTTCTAGGGGATTATTACATATATGACACTGTTGAAGTCCTTGGGATCCACCTGAGACATGCAGCAAGTGTAGTCACCTGGAACTCACCTTTTACCTCTAATTGCTTAATTATTCTTTGCTAACCTTTTCGTGAGTGTGAGTTACACTTTATAAAGAGAATGCACTGAATTGTTTTAATAATTAAACATTAACTTAGTAACCTACCCAGCTCCACTAAACATTTAATAGTTAAACCTTTAATAGCTAAGCCACTTCAGCTAGATTCCCCTGTTTGTCACCTTCCTGCAGCATAATGAGGTTTTTGGCTATTAAGGGAGGCATAAATCTCATGCATTAGGTTTATTGCTGGCCAGTGCCATGACAGCGGATTCAGACATAATTCCAAATGAATGTTTCCAAGTGGGAACTTGAGTCATATTCAAATGACTTTACCTCTGTTTTTGTTTTTTGGCCTGATGATTCTTAATTCCTTTAGTATTTATTATTGCCATAAATCTAATCCCGAGTAGTCATGCAGCATTAGTGTTGGAGCAATAAACACTTTTCCAGTGTTTCCATTGCAAATCAGCAGTAACTGGATCTGCTGTTGCCTCATGGAAAAGTTTTGAAAGAAACATTCCGTGTGAAGACAGTTTTGCATTTCTGTCAATTTATTCTTTGTGTTTTCTGTCATCATGTAATGCTCTGTTCTTTCACTTCACTGCAGGCTGAGTTCTCAGAGCTGAACCTGGCTGCTTACGTTACTGGTGGCTGCATGGTGGACATGCAGGTCATGAGGAACGGCACCAAGGTAGTAAGGTGAGAAACGCTGACTTTCCTTACATTTCTTTTTTTTTTAGGGAGATGTGGGAGTAAGTGGGATGGGTCAGGTACCTGGTCACAGCCCACTGAGGTCAATGGACAGGCCCCCAGTGACTTTGGTGGGCTTTGGATCAGACCCCAAATGTACATGATTTCCTAGTTTTGTTGTTTTCTATCCTCACTTTTCCCCACCCGTTAATTTAGGCAGAAACGTCCCATTCTCATAATCTTTTGAACCTCAGGCCTGATGGTACTGCCAATAGGCAATGGTCTTCATTTCACCTTTCACTCTCGTATTCTCCTGCTGACTTACTTTGACTGTAAATACTGCCTTGCACGCACAACCAGCCCCATATGCGTTCCACTTTGCCTGGGACAGTCTGCTTGAATATCTGCAGGTCTGGTGGCTGCTGAATACTTCCATGAACTTCATCTACCAACCTGCCTGCTCTTCGGCACCACCTTCCTTAGGGAAGATTTTCCTCTTCAACATTGCCTTCTGCGTCACCTCAGGGGAGGATGCAATACCTCAGTCTGTTGGATATTTCTGTAGTTGTTAGCATTTCAGCATAACCACCTTGCATCAACCACAGTCTACTGCAGGCAAAGGCACATCCAACAGTGCTGCTCTCTATTCATCCTGGCCATCTATCCATTTCATTAGTCAGACAGCATTAGTCCACTTCTTTCTGGTACTGAGGTGCCCAGAATATCAATATACGTATGTCATATATAAAGCAATGATCACCTCTCTATTCCATGATGGGAATTATACTGTATATGCAGCCCCCCAAATCACTTTTTTTTTAAAAAGTTCACTTCTTAGTTTATTCTGTCATTACCATTTTTCAAATTTATTTTGTTTTCTTTATCCAGATGTAATAGCTTACGTTTGTTCAGGCTGGAAATGTAATCTTCTTCCCTACCCATTTTTCTAACCACTGTAAGTTCTCTTTGTATTATTTCTCGATACTCAATGAGTTATATTACAGACCCAAATACAGTATCTTAACTAGTATGCTCTCTACATATTCTTCTAGAGCAGAAGTGGGCAAACTACGACCCGTGGGCCACATCCGACCGTCCTGCCCGGCCCCTGAGCTCCCAGCCAGGGAGGCTAGCCCCCCGGCCCCTCCCCCACTGTCCCCCCTCCCCCGCAGCCTCAGCGCACCGCGAAGCCCGCGCTCTGGGCCGCCGCTCCTGTCGGGCAGCACAGGCGGCGTGGCTGGCTCTGGCCAGGCGGTGGGGCTGCGAGCTCCTGCTGCTCTGAGCCGCATGGTAAGGGGGCGGAGGGTTGGATAAGGGGCAGGGAGTCCTGGGAGGCAGTCAGGGGACAGGGAGCAGGGGGCGGTCGGATGGGGCAGAGGTTCTGGAGGGGAGCAGTCAGGGGACAGGGAGCAGGGGGCGTTGGATAGGCATGGGTGTCCCAGGGCGGCTGGCAGGGGGTGGGGGTGTGGATAGGGGTCGGGAGTGTGGATAGGGGGTGGGGCAGTCAGGGGACAGAGAACAGGGGGGTTGGATGGGGGGATCCTGGGGGGCAGTTGGGGTGGGGGTCCCGGGAAGGGGCGGTCAGGGGACAAAGAGCTGGGGAGAGTTGGATGGGTCGGGGGTTCTGAGGGGGACAGTCAGGGGGCGGGAAGTGGAAGGGGGCAGGGACCAGGCTGTTTGGGGAGGCACAGTCTTCCCTACGCGGCCCTCCATACAGTTTCGCAATGCCGATGTGGCCCTCGGGCCAAAAAGTTTGCCCACCCCTGTTCTAGAGCATTAATACAGATGTTAGAATCAATCAGATCTCACATTGATCACTGGGACATCCCACTAGACCAGGGATTGGCAACCTTTGGCATGCAGCCCGTCCGGGTAAGCCCCCTGGCGGGCCGAGCCGGTTTGTTTACCTGCCGAGTCCGCAGGTTAGGCCGATCGCGGCTCCCACTGGCCGCAGTTCACCACTCTAGGCCAATGGGGGCTGCAGGAAGCGACATGGGCTGAGGGATGTGCTGGCCACCACTTCCCGCCACCCCATTGGCCTGGGACGGCGAACCACAGCCAGTGGGAGCTGCGATTGGCCGAACCTGCGGACGCGGCAGGTAAACAAACCGGCCCGACCCGCCAGGGGGCTGACCCTGGTGGGCCGCGTGCCAAAGGTTGCCAATCCCTGTACTAAATATATCCCACAAACTTGATACACTGCTTTGGAGTTTTGTTTATAGTTCTCCAGCCATTTTTCCGTGATTGTGGCCATGCTTGTATCTATGCAAATTTCCAGTGATCTTTCCATGTAAGATTTCGTGAGTCTGTGTTAAATATTTAAAATTCAGATCTATGACATCCGTTGTGTTCACTTGTCCCACTAATTTTTGCCTCCCAGTGCACAAATTATTTCCATGCTATGTGCATTCAAAAGCTTCCATCTGCACCACTGGTGCATCCATCAGCTGGTGGTCAGTGCCAGTCTACTCCTTTGTTCATTCACATACAAAACTGGAAAGCTATCCAAGAAGATCACCTGTGTTGATCCCATTTTCTTTTCTCTTCCCATGCCCTTAAAGTTATTCAGGAGTCTATCAAAATTTCCCTTCGGTTATTAAACTGTTACTGACAATAAAAACTTTGTGTCTGAAAAAGGGGGTGTTTTCTGTTTGTGATGAGTGAGTTGTCTGTATTATAGGGTGTCTGTCTGCATGGGTATTTATATATGAGAAAGAGTATGTGTGCATCTGGCTGTGGCAGTGGTGTGTATGCATCTTTGTGTTTGTCCGTGTGTGCTTGTAGATGTGGATGTTTGTATGGTGGGGTGACTTGGGTGGGTGGGTGGGTATCTGTATGGGTGCCTGGCATATGTGGATCTGGTCATATGTTCTATCCATTTGGACGTATCTCAGCTTTGACATACTACTGCACACATGCAGCATTTGTTCACCACCTGTGCTGGTATGGCCCCCTGCTTAGCTCGCTTGGGAGCACAGCACAAGTGTCTTGTATTACCCTTGGAGCAGGTTAGAAGACACAGAGAATGAAAAAGAAATTCTCACTTTGGGAAGCTAATAAAGGAGCACACTCATAAGTCTTGTGGAAAGACTCTTCCCTCCCTCCAGCCTTGGTCAGAAGGGGAATTCCCACACTATTCAAATTCTTCTGTATGGGGCTGGAGAACAGATTTGTAGGAAATCACTAGGTTTATCACACCCTGTATCACTAGGGACTCTCATTCTTTGTCTTATCCCATAGATGCTCTCCAACCCTCATGCCTACCAAAAGTCAAGCTAAGAGAAGAGGAGAAAACACTGGACAATGTTCCGTCTTATTTTTCTGGATGACACATACATCTGTCATACTGCACTCATTCACTCCACAACTGCCTCTCCTACCTTCCTTCCCATCCTCTTCCCCTCAGTCCAGTCCTGTCCTCCTCACCCCACTCCCTCCCTTTGTCTTTCCATTTAGCTCATACCCTACTCATGACAACCTGCCCCAAAAATTAAAATCAATAATATTGTGGCACTAGCATGACATTTGCCACCATCACACTGTTCACGTTGCATGTGTGTTATGCTCCATTCCCTTACCTTTTTGTCTGTCACGACGGTTTAGATCGTAAACTGTTCAGGGCAGGGATTGGCTCCTACTCTGTGTTTATACAGTGCCTAGCACAATGGGGCCCTGTTCTTGATTGGTCTTTAGGCATTCCCAGAATAACCTCATAATTCATACTGCTCATAAACATGAAAATATACATACATGCCAGTTGTGTGTGGGCACACACACTGTACAGTCATGGACACAGACGCAGGCATGCACACACTTTAGTTTCCTGACACACATGCAACTTGTCTCTCGTGCACGTGCAACTCACCTTCTCCTCCCTTGTGCACATGTTTCTCCTAGCCACAAGAGCACATACGTTCTATACCCATAAATCCACCCATGCCACAGACAGCCTCACCCAGGCACGCTCCTCATGCACATGTACACACAGATCCCTAATGAAGATAATTTGATACTCATTGTGGTTGAGTTATTCTAGTCACAGCAAGAGTAAACCCCTAAAGAAGATGGGAAGGATTGACCGATCTGTAATATTGTGGGAATAAATTAGAGAGGTTCTAAGTTAACGCTCTCTGCAAACACTGAGAATTCCTCAGAAGAAACATGAGTAATTTCTGCTTCTAAAATACCCAAACCACAGTACAGCAAGCTTCTGCTTAAGCAATTGCTTATACTCACTCAAGGAATGGAAGGTCTGATGTGGCCCAGGGAAACTGGAAACTACAGGAGAACCTGAAGAGAGTTACAAGTTCAAGGCCACAGAGTGCAGAAAATGTTGATTGAACAAAAACAAAGCAACAGATTCTTTTTTTCTGGACAAGGGGATTGTTTGGGCCTTCGTTCAGGTGAACTATTTAAGCCTCAGGTAGGGTGACCAGATAGCAAATGTGAACAATTGGAATGCCTGGAAAAATCCTGAATGCCTGTAAATCCCCTTAATGTGACATAGGACAGAATGGTACCTCATTAATATGCACATTTAGGATCCCCCGCCCCCTAAAAAGCAATGACCTCTGCACACTCCTCTTCAAAGGAATGGTAACTGAGTGCTGCAGTAAGGGTTTGAATTACTAATTTAATATAGTAAATGCACTGTCATGTATGTACTAGCAGATTATAAATAACTAAAGCTAACCTACACTCCATATTAACATTTTCTGGTATATTATCTTCACATTTCAAATTGTGTTAGTTGAATTATTCCCTAGTTAGCTAAATTCAGTTATTTGCAATGGGTCTCCCTGTCATTCATATGGAATAGACAGAGTCTATTGCATGCTTAATTCAAACCACTTTTTTTATTGTTTTTGGGGCCTAGGATTTAGGACATTCTATTCGTCCCTATGCCAGTTGATTAAAACTGCCCAAGTAAATAACTGTGGAGCTGTTTTCTGAAAAAGAGGCCCTGTTTAACGGGAAGGTGCAATATTACTTAAAGCTCTAGCCCTTCC